GGTAAGAGAATCGCTTAAGCCCAAGAGTTTAAGGTTGCTGTGAGAACTCTTCTGAGGGTGACATAGTGAGACTCTGATTCCAAAGTCAAAACTCTAAAGCAAAATATATTCAGAGAGGCCTCCTTTCTGTCCCTATTTCCCTATCTTCTCTCTCCCTCCCCTCTAGGCTACTGTTTCTTTTAGGTTTTAGTTTACTTTTGTCTTTTTGTTTTTTTCCAGATCAATATGAAGGTATAAATAATTACGTTACACTGTTTGCATCTGTTAGGTGAAGTCCAAGTTGTAGTTGAGCCCTTCACTCAGGAGATGTGCCAAATAACCTTATATCATGGGATATTACCTTTTTTTTTTGCAGATTTTGGCTGGGGCTAGGTTTGAACCTGCCACCTCCAGCATATGGGGCCAGCACCCTATCCCTTTGAGCCACAGGCACTGCTGGACACTACCTTCTTTATTGTTCCCCAGCCCCTAATCATTATTCCTTCTCAGGAAAGGCTTTTTCTTCTGTGTTTCCTGTTAAATACAGATTAAATATAGACATTCATAGGTCTCTCTTCTGCTACGTTCTCTCATTAGATGACCTCATCTCTTCTCATGGTTTAAATCATCATAAACAAACTGACATATGCCAAATCTACTATACAATAGCTCAGATCTTTCCTTTGAGAACCTGACGTACATATACACAATTACTTACATAGATTCTCACTTTCATCAAGCATGTCGAAAATGTCATTAATTTTTACCCTACACTTTCAGTTTCTCCTATATTTTCTATTTTGTCATACTAACTGGTCCAATGATGATAAACAGTGCCCTCTGTAGATTTTCTTTGGCTAATTTCAACAGTTAAGTGAAAACATGAAGTAGTGTAGGGCAATTTATTTTGTGATAGATGACATAATCCTTAAAGGAAAGGTGTAATTCTTCTTTTTTTTTTTTTTGGCAGGGGCTGGGTTTGAACCTGCCACCTCTGGCATATGGGGCCAGCGCCCTACCCTTTTGAGCCACAGGCGCCACCCAAGGAAAGGTTAGAGTCCATGAAGAACTAACTGTTCATTTCAGGCCTATCCATCTATTTTGTAATATAAAATATTGATGAAGTTATTGCAAGACTCAAGATGCCTATTTCATTGACAAAAAGCAGTGACTGATTATAAAAAGAGTTGTGTTCAAATGTGGAAACCATAATTATCCAGTAATTTAAGTATTAAACTACTCAAAGATACTACTGGCATTAGTGTTGCTACTGAAAACAAGAGCACTACAGGGATGAGTTATTGTTCCAAAAATCAAATTTCATGTATAATCCATCCACATAGGATGTTCCCCCTAAAACTCAACACACAAATTCTCAAATGCTACCAGTTGCTCACTTAAAGCATTCTACTTTGCTGAGGACCTTCTTTTTCAATTGTTCTGGATCTCTGCTCTCAGAGGGAAAGGCAACACCTTCAGACCTTTTGTTACCTGTGTGACACTACTCCACACAAATAGACATCAATAGGTCCTTCTGTGCTCCTTTTATGTGTTGTGATAGAATCCTATTTCTCTGGCAGCTGGAACATCCAATCTGGTTTCTGTTGGAGCTTTAACTGCAATAACAATCTGTTCATGGGGAAGGCTTGAATGCTATGACCATCTTGATATATCATATATGTTAGCCTTTCATTTTCTCAAGCAACTGCTAAGCACAAGCTTTAATTAATTAACTCATGTGGAGAGTCTCCCATTGCCGGTAAGTCAGAATGTTTCTCTTGCAGCTCCTTTTGTTGGACTATTGCTCAAAAATTGCCAAGATCAGATCCTAACTGACTATGGTTCAAGATTTTTTTTCAACTAGGTCAATTCCATTTAAGACATTGGTGATATCACGTTCTCTTCATTTTCTACTCCCAGTTTTCTTGAAATCTTCTTAAAAAAAAAATACCCCCATGAGCAGATTTGACAAGATCCATGAATTTTCTAGTTAAATAAACCAGTAATAGATTAAAAAAATGTCTCTGCACTTTTAGAGACACTGAACCCTTACTCAGAAACTTCATGAAGTCATATTCAGTTTAAAGATCACTGTTGGCTACTCTGTGAACAGAAGGATATACTTCATAATATGTGTCTTCTCTGTGGAATCCTTTCCTACATTCTCATGGACACATATTGTACATTATCTTCTAAATTAATCCTTATTTTTGATGGCAGCAAACGGTGATGGGGCCTTGGTATGCGGGGCAACTGTCTGTTCCACTGGGTCCATGAGAAGGCTGGGTAACTTCCTTAGGCACGCTGTCCCAACAGATGGCCCTCATCTCTTATACCCCATGAGCTCTCCTGCCTACTCCTGCCTGGCTCACCACTGCCCCCAGCACGTCCATTTCTGGAATCCCTCATGCCGTGGTCCTAGGCCTGCTCCAGTGAGAGCTCCCAATGCAAAGGAGAGGGGAGGAGGGTGATCTGTGGTTCTCAGGACACTAGGCAAACCATCCTCCTGCTGCAGTTTATTTTGAAACTTTTTATTACTTTATGAGGTAGGTATTATCATTTTCATCTTGCAGATGTGGAACCCCAGGCTCAGAGAAGTAGCTGGCTTTTGGTCACATGGACAGGGAGCAGGATGAGAAGAGGAACAGGTCTGGTTGACTCCAAAGCAGTGGAGTCCATTCCTCTGAGCCCAGGAACAAAGTGACCAGAAGCCACAAAAGTGCTGATTCCTTGACATGTTGACTGCTCAGCAAACATGAGCTAGTACTATCTTGGAAGTTCTAAACATGGTTTATACGTAACATTCTTGATTCACTAAGAAAGTGAGAAAAGTCATATAATGCAATACTTACTTTGTGAAGATAAATGGGATGAGGTGACCTACGTGCATTGCTTCAGAAGAGGGACCTCTGCCCGTATAGAGATAAAATGGCTTCTTATTTTCATAGGCATCAAGAACCTGATTCATATCTCTAAAGAACAGTAAAGAAAAGGAAATAGTGTGATTTTCTGAGAAAAATATCAAAGCATTATTGCTCATTTGGAAATGAAAAAGAGACAGAACAATGTGGACAATAATTAGAGTTTATTATCTTTGGTGCTTGTTATATAAAAAATGACAGGAAACTTTAACTGAATGGTTTCTCCTATGAGCAACAGTTTAAAAAGGATATGACATACAGATTTGAATAATGTTTAATAGGTGGATAGAGCTACATAGCTACCGGGACTCTTCTGAATTCCTCCAAATGACCCTTCTGATAATCTGTGTGTTCTGTACACACTTTTCTGCAGGGTACCAGGTCAATAGCACACAGTATCTATTTAGAATAGATAGATTGTCTATAGTCTCACCCAGCCCTGAGACTCAGACCCAGACCGAGAAAGCTACAGGGTTCAAGATAGCTTGACAAAGGGAGGGAAGGAAAGAATGTCCCTGGGAGTTCAGATATCTCCAGCTGGAGATCTGCTTTATGTCCCTTAGCCAGGCTGGAACTAGGTATTGTGAATCACATATAGTCAACTCCTTCACCCCCTGACTAGGGTACAGTCTTCCTTTTTTTTTTTTGA